TCTGAAGCAATTGAAGACTTAAGGATGAACAGAAGTAAACCTTGCTGAACCATCTGGATATCTGACCATCCTTGCACCGGGGTATTTATCTGGGCCATTACGTACACATTGCCTTAATTTTTCTATATTGTGACTGGAAACACGTTCTGGATAAGTTAAAATCCGAGCCATGCGGATAGGGATTGCTACCTACACCCAGTGTGTGTCCATCAGAGACCAACATAATAATATTAAAATCACAAAAAACCAAACTAAAGGTTTTTCAATTAGATTTGATATACCTAACCTCATTAATTTTCAGATTGGGATCAGGAGATATGACAGTCCGGCCAGTATATTCAACACGCTTTCCAGATAAGTTCCCACGAAATCGTCCCTGCTTCCCTTTGAGACGTTGAACAAAACCACTAAGTGGCTTTGAAACTTGCATACTGAATGGAACACCACGTACATCACTGTTTATATACTGTGCAACCTCAACTTGAAGCATCTCCCAACCACCCTAGTAAACCAAAACCTTCATAACAAGCACACTACAAGAGTAATTCATAAACAAAAGCAAAGAACGTATATACTCCAACCTTTAAACATCTCTTAGTAGTTAAAGTTTCACCATGCAATTTTTAGTCTTTCTAATTCCTCATTAGCAGCTTATACAAGTAAACCCCTTTCCTCTTTCAAAAACAAATCTTCATTACATGCTATAATTAAAAGTAGTCAACATCGTATTGAGTTCTTTTATTTCTAATACTTATACTTTTCAAGTAGCCAACTAAGCACTTTCATCTTTATGTCAGTAGACATATTAAATATCATTATAAGTTACTAGAATATGAAAATCAAATTCATTCAGTGCTAAACTAGAAATATAAATTTTCTCAATGCACATGCTTAATATCGATAACTATTTCAAATGGTATTACAAGCCAACACATTCATGCTACAGGAGTACATACCAAAAAGCATGAAAATGGATGGACCACATCCCTAGGAAATGGAAAAATAGCATAACACAAAACAAGAAAAAACAAATAAATCAATATGTTATAAAGAATTATGATTATTGTTGTGTCAGGATGATCAAAATCTAGCCAAGTTTTGAAAACAAAAGCAACACAATCTTTCTTTGTACCAGAGATTTGAATGTGGCACTTGTTTCTTGTAGCTCTTGGCGAAGACTAGTGTTTGTCTGAATGATTCGTTTTAACCTCTCAGTAATGTCATTTTCATTGCTGCAACAAGGAGCAGAACTTTAAGCATAACCTGTCCTCTAACTAATAGTGAGGAAATATGAGTAATCAAAAAGCTGCTTATTAAATGTAAATAAGGATAATATATGATCTTTCAACCTCATTGATCCATCCATCATGACTGACGGTCTAATAGGTATAGGTGGCACAGCAATGTTTGTAATAATGAACTTCTCAGGCCTATCTGAAAGGTAAAGTAACTCACAATCCTGTTAGACAAGGGAGAAGAATATCTACCATTAATAAACTAATTGGTTGGAGGATTATGACTAATTGATTGAGAAAGAAGAATTCTCAAACTTCTCTGTCTAAAATGCAGGGTCTATTATTTTCCCAGCAGTTAATAAAATCAGCACAAAGGCATACCTCATCGGTCATCCTTTTAAAAAGAGAACGAACTGTAACTGGATTCAGTATATTAGAAATACTGAAGGTTGCCTTAGACTCTTTTGTATGTGAAATTGCTGATCTACATTCTTCGCTGTCATTAAGTCTTGACCGCTCATGTTGAATGCCCAGTGTACCTGTTGCTTTCTTCACCTTACCTGGAAACAATTATATAAAGAACTGATAAAACCTGGTGGCATCTCAAACACATGACAATTGAGGTGTGGGTGTAAATCCGATTGTAGTCATGCTAGACATTCACTCTACAAATAACTGAAATGAAGTTCAAGAACTGCATAGAAGGATTTATTCATAAATAAATCTAAAGCCAAGACCCTATTATCTGCAGTTCAATTTATTACAATAAGAAAGAATATCAAGATCTAAAAAGAACCAGTCCCACCAGCTATAGTATCGATTCCTCTTTGCATTAGTCTTACATAGAAACATCATGTCAGAAAACTATAGTCACAAGGGAAAGGAGAGCCAAACCATTCGAAAATCCACATCTCGGGCACTTCAAGGGTTTATTACACGTCTTTACAATATCTTTCAGTAAGGCCTTCTTCCTTAGAGCATCTATCTTGGGACTCCTCATTTTCTTCAGAAAGCTTTTCCGTGGTTTTTCATCCAAGAGTATCCGAGAACATGACTACAAAGGAAGCAATACATTCAGAACCATTATAACCATCAAAACAAGCAAAACCAACCTTAACATCGATGGCCAACGGATAGTTAAAAAAAAAAGATGAAGGAACATACTTTTAAGTTGTAACTAATTTTATACCTTACAAACGCACTTCAAAATGTCTAAGATTGTACTTAAAAATCCAACATTGTAAACAGGAAGGGCAAGCGTCAGGTATCCATAATGGCCCGGACATTCCCCAAAACTTCCATGGCAGGTTGCACATCTACCACTTTTATTTGCAGGACCCTGAAAATAATAGGAAAGGAATAAGGGGGAAAATGGAAAAAAAAATAATAAGGGAAGCTCAAGAACACACTGCAACAGTTGCTATATTGTATATACATTCATATATAAAAGCAAAGCAAAATGAGGATACCAACCATACGGGGATCCAACAAGCCACCTTCAATGGGACGGGTGTTGCTGTCATAGTAGGCACCTTGCCATACCTGCACTTCCGCAGCTTTGCTAATCTCAGAATCCGATAACACAGAGAATTCAATGCTTTTACTGCATTAAAAAAAAAAAATAGCAGCAACATCTTAAATTTAAAAACGAAGCAAACACTGTAAATCAAAAAAATTACAAAAAAAAAAAAAAGGTGAAATTCTAATTCCTATGCAATTAGGATCGAAAATCTCACATTCTGCGCGGCCCCGGATCCTCAATATAAGGCCGCTTTGTGAAAACAATGTCTTTAGATTTTTGTTGCTGCTGCATCTGCATCTCTGCTCAACTCTGCCAAGAATTGAACGTTTAGGAAGATGATGAATGCGTCTGTACAGAACAATAATAATGATATGATACGAAAACAATAAAATATGGTTGAGAGAAGATGCAGAGGCAGAAAGCGGAGAGCGAGAGAGACTGTGGGGTTTAGAGGCTGATGAAGGGTTTTTGGCAAAAATTGCTGAAGTAAAACTTCGAACTTCAGACCTCCAGAAATGGAGATTCCGTACCGGTTACCACTGAGACTATATTAAGATATTAGGGCAACGTCGCCAGAAGAATATATATAATGTATGTTTTGAACCATAACGTTTTGGACCCCTGAACCATGTGGTTTGGCATAGTCAAACCGTTATACTAATTTTCTTGTCAATTAGGACATCAGTCTGGGTAACAATTGAGCCCCTAAATTTTAGCAGTATAATGATAAATTCAAAACATTAAGGGAAATGGACACCAGGTGACTTGTCACCCTAATATAACATAGACGTTGACTTATTAGTTATTAGGAAGTCAAGATCTACGTTTGTGGATTTTTTTTTAAAAAAAAAAATTATTAAGTCTTATGTTTTGCAATTCAGACTAATTGCAAAACAAAAAATATTGAATGAGAGAAAAATTCCCAACACTAAGACACTTATCCTCATTTAATGATTAATGTTGTGTAATTTAATATAATTTAAATTGCACAATACTGTTTTTTAAATTATTTAGGTTTTGATTTTTGAGTTAACATTAGTTAGAGTCAAAGTAAGAATGTCAATTGGATAGGACAAAAGATAGGAGGCCTTTTCTACATTGTATGAGTTGTATTCCATTTGAAAAAGAAAAGAAATAAAAGGGGAAAAGAGAAAGGAATATATATTACTTTGAGTACTATCTTATTCAAATAGTTAAAGCTAATAAAAAAAAGTATAATTTATTTTAAAAAGAAAATTAGATAAATATTAAAATAAAATCCCTCACCTTCCCATTTCATATTTTCCTCTCCCTTTCTTTGTTTTCCTCAATCCAAATATATCCTAAGCTATGCTACTAAGTACTAAATTTAGTGAAGGGCTTAGTTGTGCCAAACCACATGTGATCAGGAATTTACTGTTGTAACGTCCTTTTTTAATTTTCTTTTTTCATTAATTTTTGTTTAAAAAAAACTGTTTTACGTAGGAGAGTTCAATCTTATAAAATTATTTAAATATTTTGATAAAATAATATAAAAATAAAATTTAAAATATTTAAATAATTTTATAAATTAAATTGTATGTAACCCCTTTTGTAAAATAGTTTTATGGTGTCGCGGGTGCATGATTGTAAACGATGCAGTGTCTACGTGTTATCCAAGTAGGCTCCACATGGTTCCTTAGCTTAAACCCTAGTGCTTCCAGGAACCCCCAACGTCAGAAGGATGAAGACGATAACGGGGGGAGTTATTTCTTCAACGCCGGCCTCTCTCTCCAAGGCGGCCAAAGTCGTCTCCAATTTCTCCGCCATTGAAAGCTTTGCTTCACAAGTTATCAGCGCCTACATTCGACGCGCCGCTGTGTCATTCAACGAGTTGAATCAGATTCACCGGGAAATTGAAAAATCGTCGAAATCTGAGAAAAAGCATAAGAAATGGAAATGCGACAGCACCGTTATGGGTACTGAGGAATTCGGGTGTGCAAATCATGAGAGAAAGAAGCATTCGAAGAAACACAAGCATGAGAAAGGCGGTGCTTTTGAGGGCGAAATGACCGTTGAGGATGGGGAGAAACCAACTCGCGGTGAGTTAATTGAGGAAGTGGGTGAGAAAAGGAAGCATAAGGTTGATGGAAAAATTGGCAATTTTGATGAAGAGGGGAGAGAAATTAATGGAGAAACTGGAGGTAAAGTGAGAAGTAAGGAAGGAAAGAAAGAGGAGAGAAAGAAGAAGACGAATGAGGAGATTCAAGAAAGCAATTCTTCAGAGCAGCAGAGTAGGAAGAAGAAGAAGAAGAAGAAGAAGAAGAGAAAAAGTGAAGGGGATAGTTAATTGATCATAGACCTGGTTAGCCTTTTAGCAGTTTTTGCTGTATTGTTTTGAAGTAATTTCCATTTTTTCTTTGGATTAGAGTTACATTGTAATGATGAGGAAAATTGTCATTGTTGTGACTCATATTCAGTTACTCATTGCAATTAAATCTATTTATTTTTTATTTCATATCTGGTCTTTTTATCATTTCTTGCTTACAAGAATTATGCAATTGTAATGTGTCATACTTGCAGTGTTTTTATTTGGTGATTTTAGCATATGAAGTAGTTGAGTTTATTATTATGTGAGACTTTCTCTTTTTTAGGCATGTTCAACATAAGAGGATGCTGCTGTATTGTGCAGATGCTGGCATTTACCCATGATAGCTTCCAGTCTACTGACTCCCTGTTTTGCATCTGCCGTGGGATTCCCCTCCCATTGCAGATCTTATTGATTATTGTATCATGAAACAGGGACAGCAAAAGATGGAAGCAACAGGAAGAGGAGACAATTTATCTTGCATTAAGATGATTCAGGATAAAGAGGGTCCTTGAAGACACATGAGCAGTGGAGATTAGAAGGATGTGGTAATATAATTGAATCTTGATGTTACAAAATTCCTCATTCCTTGATCACATATGGATCAGCAAAATAATTATTGAACACAAATCAGCAAAATAATTATTGAACACAAATCTTCCAACTTCAAATGCAATAAAGGGAAAATTCAGTCTGGATTGTTTTAAAAGATTTTTAAGAAAGTGGAGAAAATTGGGTTGAAAAAGATTGAATAAAATTCAGTCTTGAGGCAGAGTTTGGTCAGGTTGATTGGGTTGTCAGCATTTAGGAAGATCAGCTGGTGGAGGAAGCAGCTTTTGATTAGGAAGCTTTCCATCCAACACAATCCAAGCCATCTTCAAACCCCAGCTTGTGTGCACTTCCAGGTGACAATGCATGAACCATACTCCTGCATATATTAACTCAAATCAGTAAGAGCATGTTTGGTCAAAAAACAGCCGTTGTAGAAGTGCATCTGTTACGAAAGCTTATGAGAAAGGCCAAGAGTCCTTTGAAGGTTATGTCTAACGTTCTTTTCCCTTTTACCTACCTGGATTGTCTGCCAGAAATCGAATAGCTACCCATCCGCCGGATGGCACGCCAATGGTGTTCCGTTCAACAGGATCAACAAGGTTGAAGTTTTTGGGGTCCTTGTTGGGGTCAAAGTTCCCAAATCCTTGTCCAACCACAAAGAAATTGAAGCCGTGCAAGTGAAGAGGATGACTCTCAGCTCCTAGGATACTGGTGTCCTGCATCACTAACTCTACACTAGTGTTAAAAGGAAGCACCATCAGTTTCGTTCCATTGCTCACCATGGTGTTATTAGGTGGGGTGCCTGTATAATTGAACAGAATCACTGGATCACTGGGGAAATCAGTGGTGTAGACGCTGTGTGATTGACCAGAAAAATGAGCCTGTAGTAACGCTGTAGTTGGCATTGCAAAGGATACATTGTTAACAGACGCTGCAAACATGGTTCCATTAGGCCCTTGGCAGGTCTGATTGCCCTCACATGGACTTGTCCCTAGACCAATGGTGAAGAAGAACTTCCTATCAACCTTCTGGGGTACCTGAGCTGGAAATTGTGGGGTATTTAAGCTCCTGAGTTTATTTGTGAATTTTGTCGCAAAGGAAGTGTCATTTAGAGCTGGAAGAACTGGTTTATACAGGGGGAGTTTATTAATGGAGATTCTTGGATGAAGCTTCTTAAATGGTTGTTCATATTCTAGAATGCTGGCAACTGTGGAATTGTCAAAAGTGCCAAGGCCTGTGGCATAAGGTCTAGCAGTCATGAAGAAGGAGGCATTAGGGTAATGGGGTTTAGTCTTAAGAAGCACATTGGTGGTCTGTCCAGGTGCAATCAGGAGGGTTTGTGTCTCAAATGGTTTGACATAGAGAGCATCAGCTTCAACAACAGTGAGGCTGTGGTTTGCTATGCTGAAGAAGAGTTCATCATTTAGTGCAGCATTAATTAGCCGCAGAAGGTATGTTTTTCCAGGCTTCACCTTCAATCTGAATGTATCTGCAAACATATGTTTATATATTCAGAGTTCGACCAAACATCTGCATTGTGTAAAAAGTAGCATTTTTTTTTTTTTTTTGGTGTAATTCGCATTACCTTTGGCAGAACAGTTATAGAGAGGCCCTGGAAGTCCATTTATGGTATATGCATCAGACACATTCGGGCCTCCTCCTGCCTGGAGGGCTTGGCTGATGATTGCCTCAGGATCTGCATTGAACCATTCCCCTGCAATTCCACCGTTATAATGTTAATCATGTCATGAAAATGGTATCTAGAAAATGGATTTAACAAGTATTTCTGGTTAATTACCAAAGATGATTGGAACTTCCATGTGGGGTTTGGGGAATGGGTAGGGAATGCCACGTTTGGGAAGGATAATTAAGGGACCATAGACAGTAGCTCTTAGCCATGAAATATGGGCATGCCAGAACAGAGTTCCTCTCTGTCCTGTAATGGTGAAGTTGTATACATAGCTCTGTCCTGTTTGTATGGGGCACTGAGTCACATATGCCGGTCCATCTGCCCATCCAGTTCGAAGCTGTCTAATGCCATGCCTATTCATTGCAATGAAAATTCATATCATTATGATTTTAGGACAAGGTTGAACTGTAAAACACATCACATGGTCTGAAGTGAAGGTTCCTCCTACCAGTGGATTGACAGATTGTTGGAGACATGGTTAACCACTTTTATCAGAAGCTGATCGCCTTCCCTTGCTACAATGCGAGGGCCCGGGAACTGTCCATTGACTGATACAATGCTCTTTGTGTGGCAAAGACGCGTCACATTTTGCAATTTGATCTGCCATTATTCACATGCATACACTAGTAACAAGGTATAAAGCTGGAAAATAAAACTAAATTGAAACAGTTAGCTTTGATACATACATCAAATTTGTAGTGCCTTGTGATCCCAAGCACAGGCTTAGAATGTAGACATAAAAACAAAAATGAGAGCAAAACTCCCAAAAGTACTTTTGATGGAAGAACCAAAGCACCCATTTTAGTGTATCTTTTCTTTTTCTTTCAAGTAGTCCTTGATCAAGTACGTGTTTGAAAAACGCATTCAGGGTGGTGTATATATACAGGAGAATGAAAGGCGTTTGGTTGATTAGGTCACAGAGATGGTCTTAGAGCTGGAAAGAAGCTAGAGCAGCTTCAATATCGACTTCAACATGACAAGCTGTTAGAACAACTTTAGAGTGCTGTCAAAGATAATCAATTCCTTTAACCTCCTTACTATTCAAGTTAAAATTCTGGCTTCAAATCTCTTATCCTATTACATTCTTCTATTTCCATAATCAACATGATTTTGAGTTTCTTTTTGACATCAAGAGTAACTTTCATGCTGTACAAATAGATATATCAACCTGGACTAAAATCCTCAAATTTCCTTCAAAAATCCTCCTGCTTGGCAATGAAGCAAAGTGGACATGGTTGCTATCAAGCAGTCATTTTAGAGTTAGCTGTATGTGAGACTTAAATTGTTATCTGCTTCTATTTTGATGAAGAAGAAAGACAGATCATAGATGAATCCCAAGGAAACCTCAGTTCCAGCAAATTTTCCCCAAGCAAACAGACTAACAACAAAAGCTTTTCTCTTAAGGGATATGCATAAATTCAGTATAAATTATTTCTCCTGTACCAAACCCTGCTTTCTCCACACAGTACACAAACATTGAACAAGGTCAAGCCACCCTCAAATATGTATATATGCCATACAGTTTGTCTTCCTTCATTAAATGCTTAATCGAGCATGATTATGGCATTCACATACAAAAACTACTATGGAAATTTTATTGCAGAACAATATTGGCTATCATACGTCATTTAGCAATATATAAAAGTACATAGATTAAATTCAGATACATAAGGTGGTCATTGTAATACAGGCAGTAGTGCTGGGTAGTAAGCTAGTTGTTCAGCGAGGAAAGTGAGAGAATCCTTTATCATTATCATAGAACCTGTAACTAAATGTTTTCAATCCATTCATGTGAAAACTAGTGAACAAGAAAGCACTTTTACTAGTGGGGTTTTTAATTTCTTTGGAATGTCAGGATCTTCAACAAAACTGATATTAGCCGATCTGTAGATGAGGAGGTTTCGTTTAGACTAGGACTGAAAGGGATCAGGTTATATCCTCAATCCTGTTGAACTTTCCATGTTCTTTCTCTCACTGTTGTGTGCCTTGGGAGTTGTGGTGGGGATAGGATTGGTTTGCCTCTTTCAGGACAGTTAACCTAACAATGCCTATAAATCAATCCATTTAACCTAATCTCCCACTAAATAAGCTACCAACTTTTAAAAAAGTACCTAACTAGATTAAAAAAGGCGCTATAGAAGCAAATGATATAACTCCATTAAGTCTTCTCTAGGGTTGTTATGAGTCGGTCCAATACACTCATAAAATATGTTCCTAGTCCATACCAATGGCATCCGGCATATACTCTCTGATGATGCTGGTGAGTGAAGAAGAATTAGGAACCAAGGTATTAACCGACGAAAGGTTGAAAGTATAATAGTCATCCAAAACACTCTCCTCTGAGGCTCAATGCCACTTTGACAATTGAATGCTGATACTTGATGGGAGAGATTTGAGACGGGCTAAGAATGTTGCAACCCAAGAAAATATTGAATCTTCCATAGATGGGAAAATGGGGATGAAGAGGTATCACAGTCAATGGAAAAATGCTAGAATGGAGTGGAATTAGATGCCTATATTGATTGGTACATCCGAAAATTTCACATGATTGAATTCGGATCCAATGTAATTTTTTTTTTTATTATTAACTTTTCGATATCTGGTAACCACATTGGTCCCAACTAATCTGGAATCGAATCTCGTCGGACCCCATTAGGAATAATCTCTCCCAACGCCTGTTTTTTCATTCATAAGACTCGAACTTGAGACCTTACTTAAAGGAAACCGAGCTCTTTTCACTTGGACCAACAAGGTAGTTGGTGGATCCAATGTAATTAGGAAAAGGTTTTCATTTCCTGGGGAGTGGTAGAGGGAACAAAAACAAGAACTGACAGGTAACAAGGGAGAGAGCAGCTTAGACATTCCCATTTGGCAGCTGAAATGTGCAAATGTGTTCAAGTCTGATCTAGGATTCCTGGATTGACTTTTGTATGTACCAGAATTGTGAGGCAACCATATTTGGTCAAACTTTAATGACTGGCCATTGCAGCAGATATGTGACTTTAATAAATCAGCATTTCTCTTGGATGATTTCATGTAAGAACAAGAACTTGTTGAGGATGTTTTCTTTTGAACCTTTGTCTTCCATGCATAGATTATTGCAGTAATCAGTTGCAGAGAGAAAATAACTTGAGCTGCAGAAGGGCCTCCAGATATTTTTGTCATTTGGTTCTCTGTGTCACAGGACAAGAAACCTAAGAAGGTTTCTGTACTAAATAAGAATTCTTTTTTTTTTTTTACTGATGTTCCAAGAAGCTCAGTGACAGCTCGACTTCGTACATCTCTAGAGTCTGGACCAACATCTTATCCCAAAAAAAGTATAAACTGACAAAAAAAAATCAGGAAAAACAGTTGTGCAGTGACCAAAAATTCAACGGTTTATGTGTCCACTGGAGATAGTGGGGATGCATGACAGAACATATTCAGTTGGACCACACATTCTGAATGAGTACCCCAAAAGTCCTGAAGGTGAATACGGTTCATTTCGAGTGGAGTTCTGTACACTTCCTAAAATCTGCTATGTATCCTGAAAATGAATGGCACTTCATGTTTGATTGTCATACACACACACACACATATATATATATATATGTATTTGTATATATGTATAGGCCTTTTTACTGGCTAACATGGGTTGCCATGATAAACCTACTAGTCTATCAAGAAAAGCTAAGAATTATGATCATTTCCTAATATACTATGGGACCATTAAACTTTTTCGCTTGCAAGCAATTACAATATGCCTTTTACAGATCAGTTTCCCCTAAAGCAAAAAACCGCACCTACCTACTTCATTACTTACTTTTACTTCTTATCTGTAACTGCATGTAGAAATGTTCTTATTCCTCCCCACATGGCCTCTTCTTCTCTAGATATCGCCAACATAAAAATGACCAATGTATAAGCCAAAAGAAACCATGAATTCCAGTTTTAATGGACCCCAAATCAGCCATTTGCACGTGCACTGGAATAGTTTACACTTTGGGACATGAACCCTGCATTAAGAAACCATATGCTAATAATACATTGATTCCTTGGCTAAAGTAACATCATTTGTTAAGTTTTTCAACAGGGTTTGGTAATTAACTAAACTTGACTGCTTTGAAATTTTCGCTTATCTTCATTATCCTGTTTGTCATTCAATCAAACATTATGGTAGCAGAGTATCCAATGGCAAAAAAACTTCTGCAGAAAGAATATGTTGGAAATTGGAGTAACAATGCAGAGTTTCATAGTGGAAAGAATCAGAGACACTTCTGAAGGGAAATTTCAGTGGAAAAGGCATCTTGCTTGAAGAAGTATAAAGGACTAGTGAAGCAAATCATACGCTGCTTATAAGTAGGGTATGTCCGAAGTAAACAGTTCCACTCCACTGAATCAGATACCCCCTTGTCATGGACTCATGTGAACTCTGCTTCAAATCGTTTCTTTTTTTTTTCTTTATTTTTAAGGGAGACCCAATTAACTTTGATCTGGACACAATTCCCAAAAGTAGAAGTCAAGTAGCACTGAGGAGCCTTGACAAGCAATTAAACATGGAGAAGAGTAGTTCAATTTTTATATATTGCCATTAATGGTATTAGGTCAAAGCAAATCCTTACAGATTTCCCATCTTGTATAACATGTGAAGAAATAACCACCCCCTTGCATATCAAGAAAAAAAAAAACCACTACTTGCTTATTCAATTCTGGAATTTTCCAAGTTGTTTGGAAGCAAAAGTTTTTCCCTATTAAATGTCAAAATCTTTATTTGAAAACCTTTTCTTTTGATGGTACATTGTAACGTAATGTGATATTTTTATTTTGTCCTTTTCAAATATTATAGTTTGATTTATTTTTATAGATGAAAAGTGATGTTCTGCTGTCCAAATTGTAATAGATTGCAAAACATAAGTCATAGAATAAAAGGACATTCCCTAAATATCATATGGTCTCTCTTAATTTAATAATTAGTGTTTAACATTCAGACTTTAAAATTTGTTTTTGTATAATCAAATAGGAGCGTATCACTTTTCAGTTTCACTATGGTGGCCACATATCATCAAGTCCAACCTCTTAAGTTTTCCTTTCTTACTAAAAGGTCGATGGGGGAGTTGGTGGCTCTAGTGCAAATCAATAGATCTTATTTCCATTACAAGTTTTGAAAGCTAATGGTGAGGAGATTATCAAATTAAGGGGAAATTATAGGTAAATATGTAAAATCTTCATTGAAAATTTTCCTTTTTCCCCTCTTTTACTTTTACTTAAAAGAAGGAAATATAAGTAGTTTTGACACTAAGAAAAGCAGCCTCCCTAAGGCATGTGCTTCCTCATCCCAACTCTTTGTCACATGGGGCACGTTTTGCTGCCACATCCAAACCCCACCTTGTCTTCCATTATTCTCTTCCAATTCCGTAGTTCTTGACATTTTACCTAATTTAAATACCTCTCCTCAATGCAGCATTCATAATACTAATTTTGAATTTCATCACTGTTTTCTAGTAACCAAAGCAATTCCAATTTTAAGTGTCTGAATTTAAGTGCTCCTTACCTTGTATCCTACCCCTCGACCCTTTCAAGTAAGTTTTTGGTGCACAAATTCTTTCGTTTGAAGATTTTATTCTTAGTTTTTCCTTGGGATGTCAATTTCTTTTCTGGTAAAAACATCCAAGTGTTTTCAATTCTCTCTTTGAATTATCCACACCATTTTGGTGTATAAGACATGAAATTTGATATTTTGTAATCTAATAATTGAAATGAAAAATTCATGCGTCTTAATTTATACATAAGAGGGTCCCCCTATGAGTCTATGACCCAACATGATCAATGATGCTTGATTTTCACCATGCGCACTTCCACTATATGCCAGCGCCCA